GAAGGAGCTGGCACGGCGCAAGCACAATGCACATGCCCCCCCCCCTCGCCCTCCTTGCGCCTGTCCGTGCCGCACACACCACCCCGGCACAAACCACGCAGCGAGCGAGGCGGCACGCACTAACGCGGCACGCGCCACACCAGACGGAAGACACCAAAAGCAAAAACCGCTTCCCCCCTGCCCCACCCAACCCCCCCGACAACAGGCTGTTGGGGAGAGGCACTATCATGGCCGGCACGGCACGCGAGGGGGTGGCGTAGCCAGCAAAGACGCCTGCCGCTTTTGTTTTCCCAAGGGGTTTGAGTCTGAGTCGACCTAGGGGGGCGGTCAAGGACCGATTCAGATAATCGTCACTGATGTTGTCTGTGAGCGGGAATCGAACTCGGGTCGCCGGGGTCGTAGCGCCAACCGCCGTTGGTGTGTGCGCTGACCCACGCATCACACACGCTCGCACACCTCGTACGCCACCTCGTCGTCATCCTGGCTGTCGTGGACAAACACGCACGGACGCAGGCAAACGCACGCAAACATGCATGTCCTCCCCCCCCCCACACAGCAGCACTTAGCAGGCAAGCTGAACAAACGGCTTTTTGAGGGGTCTGTTGACGCGGCCGTGACGAACGTAAACAGCAGCGGACGGGGCGGCGATATCGTTGCTTTTTTAAAATTACATTTTTTTAAACAAGGGGGCCACGTTTTGTTACGCGCATCCAACCCCTCTCCCTCCGCCACCAGTGAATACGTAAATATATAAATAATGCAGGGGGAGGGAGGGAGGGAGGAGAGAAGAATGGTGGCAGGTGAGTTTATATTTAGATGAATTGCCGGGGCGACGGTAGGAGCCATTTTATTACCACCGTAGGCACTGCCTAATTTTCATTCGCACACATGAAATTCATTAATGCGGCCGCGCGGTCCGGGAACCACATAATTTGTCCCTGGTGACAGGCTCCGGTATAAAAAAAAAGAAAGGGAACGAAAATACGGCAAAGGGAGGTGGGCTGGGGGGGAAGGGGAATCAGGAGCTCGAGGGGAGGGAGGGGAGGGGGCTCGTTTCGTTCGACTGTCACGCACGTCAGAGCTGCCGCCCGGCTTCTTCCGAGTCCACCCTCTTAATGAGGAACAAATTAAACTGCGGCCGCCGAGCGGAATTGCCTCTCCACCCGTCGGCACGCACACACAGAGCCCTCGCTCCTAGCGCCGTGGGTCCACGAGAAGCACCACCACCGCCACCGCCGCCACCACCACGCCACTACCACCACCACCACCACCACCGCCGCCACCATCGCCACAACCAAAACTATCACCGCCACTACCACCACCACTACCACTACTACCACCATCACCACCGCCACCACCACTGCCACAACCAAAACTATCACCGCCACTACCACCACTACCACCATCACCACCGCCACCGCCACCACCACCGCTACCATCATCATCATCACTACCATCAGTCTCACCATCAGCACCACCACCTGCTTGTTGTCTGGGCAGGGGGGGCTGCAGTGGCGGAGGGCGGTGCTATGGATTGATGCGATGGTTCCCTTACGCAATTAGACACCGCCCTGCGTTCTTGGAGTCAATTCATTCTCCCCCCCCCCAATAACCCTGCCACCACCTGGTAGTCGAATTCATAAATGTCCATTAGCTTCTCCTTTACGGGCCGTATGTCTGCAGTGGCCCTGACATTATTACATTGAACATTCGTGTCTCCAACCCTTCTGCATGTGCAGGTGTACAGCTATATACACACACGTGTGTGGGAATGTGTGTGGGAACGTGTGTGGGAACGTGTGTGGGAATGTGTGTGGGAATGTGTGTGGGAATGTGTGTGGGAATGTGTGCGAGTGTGGCGCAGTGGTTAGTGCTCTGCGCTACGAATCCGCCGACCCGAGGCCGAATTCCCGTTCACGGCGATACACCAGTGACGGTTATCTGAACAATTCCTGGAAATTCTCTAGGTCGACTCAGCCTCAAATGAGCACCCGGTGCGGTTCGCAAAACGTCAGAACTGGAGAGACAAAGGCGGTCGGGTGTGGTAAACTCACGTGTGCGGTGGCGGCCTTCGTAGGTGCTCGCTGACAGCACTTGCCCCAACAGTCTGTTGAGGCTATACGGGGGATCTTTGTCAATATATGTGCGCGCAAGAGAGGGAGGCGGTAGGGAAGTGGTTGACGCAACCACCCGCCCGGTTTTCGAAACCGGTCCAGGGCCTCCCCTAGGTCGACTCAGCCTCGAACGAGCACCTGGCGTGGTGTGCAGTGAACATCAACCGCAGGGGACTAAAGCGGTGGACGGAGTGGCTCTGGCCTCGACACTCCGTTGGACGCTGGGCCGCCGTCAATAGGTGCTCGCTAACCGCACTCACCAACAACGACAACCGTCGATACGAACTCAAGCGATCTAAATACTCCTAAATAAATAAATATTTACACTAAATAAAGCGATCTTCGCGCGCCGCTGCTCTTTCCTTATTGCATTTGCGCACGAGAAATTATTATTTATGTCTCCGTAAGTGTTTGAGTTACATATATATATAGGGATTATTAACACTAATGTTTAAATGAAATTCCAATCCAAGTGTTGAGTTGTTGGCAGTCAATAGCCGCATTTTTTTCTCTCTTCCCAAAGCAATCTGATTTTAAAACGATCTCTCTCCGCTCTAGCTCTCTCCGCTCAACGCGGCTGTGCAAGGGATAGAGGGGAAAAAAAAAACAATCGGCTCCTTGCTCCGGCTCACAATTTTCTGCCAATTTCCAAATGAAAACCCATTAGTTCCTTACCCACTCGCTCATTAAGTCCCGGTTAGAAACGCACTGCAGCTCTTCATTACGTCCGATTTCTACAGAGATATATTATCGCGCACGCGTGTGTGCGAGCATGCGTCGCACGTAGGGCATTTAGAACGAGGGTTGATACCATACCAGGTTGAACAGCTGATTGCCAGAGTGAACGGCCACACACATACACAAAAATAAAGACAAATATCCCCCATATAGCCTTAACAGACTGTAGGGGAAAGTGCTGTTAGCGAGCACCTATGAAGGCCGGAACGGTACATGAACGAGGTGGTGGGTGGCCAGCACCACGCCCGACCGCCTTTGTCTCCCCAGTGGCGATGTTTACACACCGCACCAGGTGCTCATTTAAGGCTGAGTCTACCTAGGGGAGGCCCAGGACCGGTTCAGATAATCGTCACTGGTGTTTGCCGTGAGCGGGAATCGAACCCGGGTCGCCAGGTTCGTAGCGCAGCGCGCTAACCACTACACTACCGCTCCCCATACACATACACACGCACTCACACACATTCACACACTCTTACACTCGCACATCCGTAGTGCAGCGCGCTAACCACTACGCAACGGATCCCCACAAAACACGCGCACACCACTCACACGCACACACACATTCACGTCAGCATCACCACCGTCACACCGCTCCGACGACCGACGGCAGAGTGCAGCGCAAACCCGAGAAGTGGAAAACGGGCGGCGCGAAAACGCCGGCAACGTTATCGAGCGCGAAAGTCAAACTGAGGGCGTTGGGGGAAGCGAGGGTGACGGAGGGTCAAGCTCAGCACCGGCGCCCACCTGCACGGGTTGACAGATGAAGGACTCCGGCTATCGGGCGCTCGCGGTAGGGAAGGCACCTAACCCTCACTCCACCCCGCGCGGCAAAGTTACGTTCAAACGGCGGCGATTCTTTCACCGAAATTTCCCCTGCGTCTCAAACCCCCCCGCCAACCCCCCCACCACCAGGCCGACGCGGCTCGTCAAAACATCCTCGATCTCTTGGCGGAGTGCCACATATTCACACCCTATTCACACCCTATTCACGGACGGTATCCGGGTGGAGGAACCTAACGCTCAACAATAAAGCAGGGAGGCAGGCAGTCACGCAGGCAGCCGGAGGCAGTTTCTCCCGACTGCCGCCCTGCTACGTTTTACGATTCGGTGCAAACGTCGAAGCCTCGCAAAGCGAAAACGATCGCAGCATGACTACCACTGAAACGTCACTTCGTCCAACGTGTACATGCGGTGATGTCACTAAACGTCCGGGCAGGAATTATCTGGCAGGTTCGATGGGGTAAGGCAAATGGCTGTACGTTAATAAATTAAACTGAATTGGACTCCGCGGAAATGAAAAGGTTACGTATCGGTGAGCGAGCCATGGTTCGTCACATCACAGGCGTTGAGTGAGTAGGAACACTCTGAACTGGATTCCACTTCCCTGAGTCGCATCAGCAGGCCGAATCCCGTTAAGCAGATGCTGCTGCTGAAGGCAGGCACGGCCTGTTTGCTGAATATTCCACAAATTATAAATTCCTCGGCATGGTTGGTTACGTACGGTGCGAAAGAAGTTAAACATACATACATACGAGGATGTTTCCTTTGGCTCGAAACCAGTTGTGGAAATGCCACATTGCTATGGCAGGGGGCAGGCGATTCTTTCCATCGGACAACCGCTGCTGACCTCCTCTCAAAGCGGTATTTATTTTATCAATCCTGTAGAGATAATGGGCTTAGTCAAGTCCAGACCGGGATATTAACTCGCAAGCTTGCGAGGGCGATCCACGCACTCTAACCACAGCGCTACCCAGCAAGATAGAAGCAGGCTTCCACAGAAACACGAGCAACATCATTGGTGACACGAGCAGCAATTATTCATCGCATTGCGGTCTAAACACTGAGTGGAGAGGCTGACACACAGACACCTGCTACATGTGGGTGGTGCAAGGTGCATGTTGATTCAAGCGAACTGACAGAGGCCTGGGCCTGTAAAACAGGGGTGTGAATTTACGGGCAGAGGGTCCCATACGGCCTGCGACTTCACTTCACACGGCACTGCGACTTCACTTCACTGCTTGCCCGTAGCGTCCCCACGCTGTGTTTTAGACTTTAACCTACAGGCGTTCCTGTGTTTTAGACTTTAACCTACAGGCGTTCCTCAACCATCCCCCACACACACGGGGCAACCTACAGGCATCCACTTACCGACAACACCAGGACCTTCTACCTCCTCCTTGCTGCCGTTGGCATCCGTGATGATCCAGAAGCGGCGGATGAGCTTGCACGCGTTCTCCGGAAGGGCGTCCTTGGCCATCTCAATCCTGCGGAGAGACGCGGTGCGCAAATGACCGATGTGAATTAAATCGTCGGCGGCGATAATTTGCGCTTTGCTTCGGTTAACAGTCTGGATTTCTCGAGAGAGGCGCCCTTTGCGCTGGGTGCGTACGCGCCCAGCCATCGGCGACCTGCGTCTTCGTCACAAACGTCTCAGGGAGCACCCCTAGCGGCAGCCGCCTCCGTGTGGCACAAAGTGGCTTCGTCAGCCGGACTGCATGTTGGCGCGAGTTTGCAAGTAGCGGGGCGATGACCGCTGCGGTGTGCAGTCCAAATTGGATCCTATGCGTGTGATTTTTTTTTATTTAAAGTTGACATCCATGCCAATGAAAATCTTCACCGGGGGGGGGGGGGGGTAGGAGTGTGGGGCCCTCCGTGTGGATAGGATGTCCCTTGAACGTACCTCAGAAGCAGTTTGGCGACAGCCGCTTCTGCGGTCTGTTCTCTGCGGCGGGGCCATTCACCGATAGCCGTTAAAGAGTTCTGAATGGACTAGGCGTCCGCGGGTCATTACGCCAAGAAAGGAAATGTAATAAAACCGGGGGGAGGGGGGGAGGGATGACTTTAAACGTTTAAAGGACATGCAATTGGACTGGTGAATAAGCAGAAGTTAAGGACTCAAACGTGTCCATACGCACCGCCTTGCAGCGTGAAACCGTAGAGTCGGCGAGTTCATTTGGCAACGATTACTCATTCCGTCCCTGACTGTTCTTCTCTTCTAAGTGTGAGCCGGTGCCCAATATTGCATCCAATTACTTGCTGTATTGTTCTGTTACAAGGCGGTGTTAATGATGAAAATAATTAGTTTTGTTTGAATTCAGGGGTTATAATGGTTTGCGTAAGAAGGCGTGGCAATGCCTTTATGAAAATAAACGTAATTATTTTCGAGTGAATTTAAGGCACGGAGCCGTCATGGCAGGTTCTGTTTCGACCGTCTTTGACGATCTGTGGACGGTGGCGAGGTGCGGAGTGACGCGTCGATTCACAGGCTCAAGTTGGCGGGGTGCGGAGTGATGCACACGCGTAGAATAGCGCTCGTAATAATAGGTTATATCACAAGAATAAATATGGTTTGTAATGGGTTTAATGTGACCCCTGCTGCTCCTGTATATTTAGAATGGAGGATTCAGCAATGTTATATCACGAAAAATCATCCGTGCTTTAAAATTGTCGTCATTCAGATCCGACCAAGAGTATTGCGAGTTGCGCGATCGGCGTTGCGTCGAGTGACTAAGGGACCGTTCTGATCTCTCGCAGTGGAGTGCCCACCATTCGCGTTGGCCAATGGCCCACATAAAGCGGATACCACAGAAGTAGTTCCGAGACCACCTCTTCAAGTGACAGAATATTAATTAAGGCCGTGTTTTTTTATTCTTATTGTGCGGTCATTGGCGAGCAAGCAAGAGGCCGTCAACTCGCTACACACGTACACTCTTGCATTGAATTGTGAATCGTGAAAACGAATCAAATCGCGAGTCGGCCAGAATTGTCACGGGCTTATACAAATCCCAAACCTACTCGACACATTCGTCAATAACACCGCGGGCTTAAAATAATATATAACAGGCGATATTTCTGGGCAATGGTCCTTCCACATGGCAGATTATATATTTTTCCTTTTAAGCTCACGGTGTTATTGACGAACGTATTGAGGGTTATTTCTCATTCACCGTGCGTCGTTGCACCACTGCCAATACAGCGGCGGCGCCAAATCATTTGTGTTACATAAATACAAAATATATTCGGAATATATTTTTTTCACGGGTTCGGTTGAGTAAAAAAGGTGGAAGTAGCAGCAACAGAAAAAAAAAACTTCTCTACTCTTATAACGACGGTAATTTCATCACACGCGCGGGGGAAATAAAGAAAAAATCCCTCTGACTTGCCATGCCAGTGGCAAGTCAGCAACAGGCACGAGTGCAAATTAACTTTCTGTGCCGCTAATAAGATAGCGCACAATGAGATCCGCTCACTGACAAAATAAAGGCAGCCATTAACCCCGCCGATTATAATACCCCAACACAGGGGCAACATTTAATTAAGGAAGGAGGCAGGTTGTGTGTAATTATTTCCTGACAAAAATCTGTCTCGTTGCGAACAGCTAAGGAATAACGTGGGGTTTTGTAGCTTGAAGGATTAGGGAATGATCAAACGGGAGCCATCGCCTAATCTTGTTTTACAGGGCATATAAGTGTGCGTGTGTGCGTACGTATACACGTGTGTGTGTGTGCGCGCGTGCGTGTACACGTGTGTGTGTGTGCGTGCGTGTACACGTGGGGAGCGGTAGTGTAGTGGTTCGCGCGCCTCGCTACGAAGCCTGCGATCCAAGTTCGATGACAGCTCACGGCCAACACCAATGAACATTATCTGAACTGGTCATGGGGCCTCCCCTAGGTCGACTCAATCTCCAATGAGTGTCCTGGTGCAGTGTGTAAACATCACCCACCACCTCGTGTGCCGTGCCAGCCTTCATAGGTGCAGGACTTGCGCCAAAAGTCTGTTAAAGGCTGTATGGGTGATTTTTTTTGCCTCCGTACGAGCGCATGTGTGTTTATAGGTAAAGGCGCAGCCCTGCAATTGCTCACTCACGGAAGGAGCCTCCACTAAAGGGAGCTCTAGCGATTACCTCGCGAGGCTATTTGGCCCTCCTCTTCCACGTTGGGGCAGACGCCTTGGAAGAGGTGGAAGCTACCCACGCTTTACAACCCACCGCACCCTTTAAGAGCCTTGCACGCCAGGCGATCGAACGAATACCCGGCGACCCCTCGACCCGCAAGCGCAGCGCGCTCACCCCTACGGCACGGCGGTATCCTTGCACGCGCGAGTGCACGTTGAGGCTGTACGGGGGATCTTTGTCGACTTGTTTGGTGTGCGCATACAAACACACACATACATGACATAAATCATATATGTGCTGTCTATAGAAACGCAAGTAATGAGTCGTAATAATAAGAGGAACCACAGCCACAAATTGTTGAAAATAAAAACAGGAACGGTGCAAATGCACGAGCTGACAGGCCACACTTGTTTGGCGAGCATGGACTGGCTGATTATACCCGGGAGGGGGCGGGGGGTGGGGCGGGGGCAGGGTGGGGTGGCAAAGGAAGATCCCTGTTGCGGCTTACTCCACCACCGCCATCGCCACCGCCACCCCATTGCGTGAGAGCGGATCATCAGCCGGTTAACCCCCAAGCCTACCTGCCAAGCCTGGGGGATCTTCAGCACCAACTTTGGTGAGTTTGGCTCCCTGGGTGCGTGCGCGTGTGTGCGCGCGTGTGTTTTGTTTAATGCCAGGAGCCAGTTTGAGATTTCTTTTGTTATAAAAAAAAGAGTGACAGTGGAACAAAAACAAATTCGACCAAGGTCAAAAAGTTGTTTTCCCATTTTACAATTCTCTCTCCGATTCTCTCCGTGTGTGTCTCTGGTGAAGCAGAAAAGCGATCGTCAGTACCTGCAGTTTAATCGCCAAAGGCGCTCAACTTTGTCGGGTGCTGGCTCTTAATGACGGGTCAGTCCGGCTCGACAAATGCTCACAAAGCCCACACTGGTTTTTCCCACTCCCACCCGCAAATCTGCTGCTTCCAATCGTAGCCCCTACGGTGGGTTGGAGGGCAGTGAGCCTCAAGTGCTTCCAGTAGGTCCCACCACACTCACGGGAGGGTTACTCTAAGTAAGTGCGCTCACCAAAGAAGGGCAGCACGCTCAGGCAGGATGTCCGCCACGGATACGCAGCGATATGGGGCTCGGGGAGGTCTTCATCCAAGCAGTGGATAGATCATGGCTGCTGTTGCTGCTGCTGATGATGATGTGGCGATTCACAGCTATGCTGCTCTTGAAACCATCTCTGTGAGCCTCAGGCATTAACACTGAACCATAGCAATCCTGAGTCTGGCTCTGAGCCTCACGCATTAACGGTGAACCATTAAAATCCTCAAAGGGTTTGGTCTGTCCGAGAGCAACGGTCATTAATACTGAGCCTTAAGAATCATAACGGAAGCCTTAGTGTGGCCCTCAGTGTATTACGCTAGCCGGTGGTGAATATAAAGCATACTCAGGGTGGAGCACGGATCGGCGGTTAGCACAACGCCCTACGAACGCCGCGACCCAACTTCGATTCCCAGCCGTGGCCTACTTCAGCGGCGTGTGACATCTGAACCATCCCAGGGCTCCTGAGCGTCGCGCTGCCCAGTGCAGGGTGCAGTACGATCGAACGAGCCTCGCGCGGGCCGGGTGCCGCCTGCCTCGCGTGCCAACGTCCTGACCCGCCCTTACTGGACATCTGTGAGAAAGAGCTTTGCAGCTCAGCGGATTCCTCCTGCAGTAAATGAACATTCTGATTCCGATTCTGAAATCGTAGGCCTTACCCACCCGGCGAGGCCGTAGGTTTCCACATGGCCCGCCCGGCGTGTCCTGGTAAAGGCTCAGCCAGTCGTGGAGCGAGCAGGCCTCACCACCTGTCAGCCCATAGCCGAGGGGGGGGGGGGGTCACCCTCACCTCTACCTCCACCCAAAGCCGGCCGGCCGTGATGCCAAAAGGATGGCGAGCCATCCCCATAACAGATTTCCTGCTCGGATGAGCGTCGAGGCCCTGGTGCTCATCTCCCCGATTGACAATCCCGAGGCAGCGGTGGAAAATTCCACTTTTATGATGTGGGGGTGGGGGGGTTGGATCTATCCACGGGACGACCGCTGTCGACTTCCCCGCGAAGTGGCACCTATTTTATTGACCGCCCCCCGCCCCCACTCCCGTAGCCCCCCACCCCCTCCGGAGGGACGATACACGGGTCGAACCAACCCGCGAGAGGAGTCAAACTCGGCCTTCTGCCGCCGCGGTAGCCGCGCCGAGCCACCTGTGCCGGGCGGGCGGCTCGTGAGCGGCGTCACGGCGGCGTGAAGGGTTCGGCGAGAGCGGAGGGCGTCAGTTGACCGTCCCCGACTCTCCGTTTGCCCTTGATAGGCAAGCGATAAGGGACACCGGCTGACACGC